CTAAATATATATCATATGATTATCGAAAATCATTTTTCACATGACTAATCTAACTGTCGTTATAATTATGTCCAATATCTGTATATCAAAGTTAAAAAAAAAAAAAAAATGATTAAAAATAATATCTTTTCTTTATTAACTTCTCTATATATTTAATAATCTAAATTATAATATTTGTTATTTTAACTATATAATCAAATAACTTTTAGTCAAAAATTATATTGGTTATAGTAAACATATACTAATAAACCATTTTTTTATTGTAATTCTTATTATATATATAGTATGTATTAAAAGATTGCATATAAAGTCATTAATTTCGTATATATATAACATATATATATATATATTATATATATATATATATATTATATATATATACCGGGCGTTTGATAAGTCCCTTGACAGAACCTTTTTAAAGATTATAATGATCATATATTTTTTTATACAGTATAATAATAACATTTAATAATTTAGTAATTTAAAAAAAGTCCTGTATAGGGATTTATCAAACATATTATATTATCATGTTGAATATATTATATACACAATTTTGAATATATGTACGTACGTACGTAGATAATTTTTTTTAAATACGTATTGCTAAATCTTTACTATCTGTAGTAATTACTAACCAATATACAGTAATAGCCAATCATATTCAAAAAGATTTTGTATCAGGTCTGGTGTTTCTACTTATAATTCTAACCCTAAATTGTTTAACTCAAATATTAAAGAATTAGGTAATCACACGGGTGTTTTATTTTAATGACGCAAAAAGGTTATATATATATATAGTTTTGATATATGTATAATAAATCTTAGCATATCGATATACTGATAACTTTAAAACTTGTATATCTACTCTATATATATAGTTTATATAAAATTTACGCAGTTTAGGAAATACAGGAAATACAAACATTTTTAATTTTGTATTTTGTTTAATTGCTAAAAAAAGAATTTGTTATTAAAATATTTTTTTTTTGAAAACTTTCTTCAGTGAAATTAAAAATATTCAATTTGTTCGTGATTTTTGTGTAGTTGCACTCTAGAAAACGGATTTCCATAAATTTATTGATATTATCGTTGTTATCAAAAGAAAAGTGTTTCGCAAATTAATTCTGTTTATCAATGGTGTTACGTAGTTAACTCTGATAACTCTGATACAGTAGGACAGAAATAGATAAGTATTACACTATTGCATAACAAAAAGGTCTCAAACTCAATAAAAAGACTTCGTTTGTTTCAGCTTAACTAGTATTCTAAATCTTCGTTTACCTTTCCTCGTTCCTCGGTTGTCACTGGCTAAGCGTCTGTATTTAACAACCATTCAGGCATTCGGCGTCCTTTTGGCTTTCTTCCCTCTTTGTATGTGTCTTTGAAGCGATAAACAATCAGCCAACTATGGGGACCGTTAACGGTGGAACCATTATCAGCTTCACCCCCAACCCTCCTTCTTTACACGCCGTAACCAGCCGAATGCCTTCGCATCATCCTACGGGTTGTGCAAACTTTACCTTTCAAATTCCTTCAAGTAGGTGAAGAAAACAGCAAGAAATAAATAAGTTAACCTCTTTTTCAGGATGTTAATTTGAGCGCTTTTCATTGCATTTTTTTATCAACTTTTATTTTATGCAAAAAAAAATAAAAAATAAATAAAAATCAAGTTACTAATTTTTTTTTTCTTCAAATATATGCAAAAACGCTACTTCATATAGTTGCAAACGCTGCGAAGAAGTAAGCTACATTTTCTTGGGATTGGATATTAATAAATCAGAGTGCTGGGATAGCATAAGTTGACGCCTTGAAATAATTGGTAAAATTAAATTAGCCGATTTATTTTACAATGTAAAAAAAAATGATCAGCAATATATCGATATAAAGTCAAAAATAAGCTTATTTATATAATAAGAATTAAATAATTAGTTTAGCAATCATTTTAGGGTATTGGTTATGCTGTCCAGCACCGTATTATCATATATTAGATTTTAGTTTGTATTCATGTTCATATTAAAAAATATTATTTAATGAACAGGAATACTAACTCTGCTGAAAGACGAGCCAACCACAACGCTGTCGAACGGGCACGACGGGAATGTTTAAATACCAAATTTCAAGAGCTTGCCCATGCATTACCTTCCTTAGCGCAAGTTCGTAGGCCTTCAAAGTCAATAATTGTGCAGAAGTCATTAGATTTTATTTACACATCTCGTCAAAAAGATGATCTGCACGATAAAGAGATGCGAAGCATTCGAAGTGAAAACGAATCACTGCGTGAGGAGGTTAACAGACTAAGAGAACAATTAGGCCTAGAACCTCTACCACCTCGCGAGGAATCTAAGCCAATACCTCAACAAGTTGATGAAATTAAAGAGGACGCCAACACCAGCACAATATCGAATTCACCAGAAATAAAAATTGAAGCTGATAATAATCCTACCACCACCAATGCGCAGGAGTCGGCAAGTTCCTCCGCTACTCATATTAAATCAGAAGATTCACGCTCTGACGATGATAGTAACGGGAACACCGATGATGATTACGATTTGGACCATTCAGATCTGATAGATGCTAAGGTTAATACAGAGAACAATCAATTAATTGAAAACCAACCATGTTTATATGACCGTACGTATATATTGTATCTGTTATTATAATTTTCAAATTTATATTTACAATTTGATCCAATTAACAAAAAATAAAATAAATAAATAAATTTAATTTTAGCTTTAATGTATCCGCAACTGCTAGATCCAAATTTGAACCATCATGCTGATTATTCAACATCAGAATTTGGGTTCCATATGGATATGACATCAATAGATAGCATTTATTTTGATCATGATCAATTAGTAACAAATGATATTGAGTCATTTTGTCATCCATTTCAACAAAAATTTTATCCATCTCCACCAGCGACGACAATGCTAGATCTTACTGGACAGATACCGGGCTTTCCCATGAATACTGAAAGTTCACATGTAGATTTTCATTCATAAAATCTACCCTAATGATATTTAGTTTTGTTAAATATTTTAGACTTTTTTTCAAGGAACTTTTGGCTTAACATGCGTATATCTTAATTTATTAATATGTTTGGTTTTATTCACTGTATTATTAATAGATTTCCTTTCTTCTTTTTTATTTGCGTTTATTTTAGACTGAGTTCACCTTCCCTCCCCATAATTTAATTTTTTGTTATATTTAACGGCTGATTGTTTATCCACCAAAGCTAAAATTTGGTCTTGTTTATTACACGCTTTTTTGTACAACCCCCATTCATTCTTTTTAATGTAGACATTTTGACTATTATTGGTCGCCATTCTTTCCCTTTCACAAAGTTATAAACATATTTTGTACTCTATAAATAATAGTAATATTATTCTATTATATTCATTTTGTATTGTAGGTTATTATTTTTGGGTATTATCAATACTACATACAATTCTCTTATATCCTTGATACTTGGATCGAATTTTTTCATATTTTATATATATAATTTTTGGCTTATGGTTAAGAGAATCATTGTGTCTTCTCAAAGTGATCCATTGGTACTGATTGCATTAGTTTATTAGTTGTACATGAGTTACCTTTGATTACGTATAATTATTCATCTACAGATACAAGACTTGTATATTTGGTAAATTGCATACAATATCTTTAAACTTTTCCAAATTAATATCCTTCATTATATTAATATATTTAATTATTATTCATTATAATAAAAATGGTGTGCGCATCATGGTATAATAAATATAACATGTACGTACATACTATATAGAGTTTTTAAGGCTACGTAGAACATTATCCTTTATTGCTATATAATTGTGTTATATACAATCATAATATTTTTAATTCTTACCAAACTCGATTAATGATCTACATTGCAATCAATTATCGCTATTACGTATTTGGGGTAAAAATCTGCTATATTTGGCGATAATTTGCTGACAAATAATATTACTTAAGTATTCCCGAACATGGTTAAATCCTGTAAGAAACACTTTTGATGCAGTTTCGTGTTAAATTTTTAGTTACAAATAGAAGTTGTGCGGTAAACTAATATACCACAACTAGTTTTAAGACCAGTTCGAACCTAAAAAAAGTTGGTTTGCTTTTAGTCTTAAAACCAACCAATCTAGACTAGTCTGATTTAATTAAGACTATATTAAATCGGACAAAAGCTGGATTAAAAATAGACTAGCGCTAGACAAAACCAAACCAGATAAATAAATTTTTATTATTATTACAGTCGTCCTCCTCTATAATCACGCGGTTTGTTTTATATAAAAAAGATGTGATTATAAAATTTTAATAGTAATGTGATTTTTTTTAATAAATAAATTACCAATAATTTTTCAAAAATAGTGTTTATGGGTTGGGATCCCACGGCCTAGTGGTCTAGGCACCCAACTCTCCATGAGCAGGTTTTGGGTTCAAGTCCTAGTAGATGCGGATTCTACGAATACTTGAATATACTCACATGTAAAAAGTTCAATTGAGTACAAGTTTGGATTAGGAATTTCCAAAAAGAGGTTGTGGAGAGTTGGCACTATGTGTAATAGCAGTTGTTACAGATTCTATAACACAATGGTTGTGTATGTAAATCCTTGGGCACCAAGGATTTACTTATTTTTGCAAGTGATACAATGTCGATCCCTTGCGCCCTACTGGGTACTAATTTGATTATCACATTTAACAAAAAAAAAACTTAAATTCATATTTTCTTAATAATGAAAATTTGTAATTATACTGTATTTTTTTTTTTTTTTTTTTTTTTTTTTTTATTATTAAACCGATGTCACGGGTGCTTAACGCTTTATTGTGTTTTATATATCTTA